GCATAGCTTTTCAAAATCGAAGTCGAGGATCTCACGATTGATCGTATCGAGGTACAAGTCGCTGTAGCCCTCCATGGGGGCGCTCTGACGTTTCGGGGCCGCGATAACCGGTTTGTCGTCATCAGCATCAACATCGGACGATTCGGGGCCTCCATCTTGCGCTGCTTCCGCTAGCTCTTCGCCTTCCTGGTCGGCAGCCGCAAGTATATCCTGTCCGCTGCGCTCATGTTCTTCAAGCTCCTGTCCAGTCGCCCGGCGAATCGGCAAAGCTCCACGGCGCGGATCGTTTTCCGACAGCTCTTCATCCTCCACACGCGCTTTCTTCGAGGCAGGGGAGCCTGCTGCAAGCTCTTCCTCGAGCGACAGCTCAGCTTGTCTCTTCGACATCATGACTGGGTAGAATGGCGAGATTTGTGAGGGAAGCTGCTGGGGTTGCGGGATTCAAACTGCGAAGGACGCGATGCAAACCGCCTGGTGCAAACATGCCAAACACCCGCACAGCGTCATAAGGTGCTTGGTTACATACGGCATCATGGGATCGCAACCCGGCGGCATCAAGCTAGGTGCGCTAGTGCTACGATATTACGGACAAAGCGACTTCTCAAGAAATCATTGATATTGTCTCTACCTAGCTAAATAATAGGAGAGACTTTGTCTCGGTCAAAGCCATGGAAATTACCCTGCCATGCAAACCGATCTTCTCTTGAAACCCAAGTCCCGTGAAACCGAAAACATTAGACAATCATTGGTATGATACATCACATTAGGCACTCTTGACAATCCTGTTATTATCGAATGGTACTTCTTGCACGCCGTCCTTAGTCACGATCTTCACCAGAACCTAGAAGCTGTCAGCTACCCGTACTTGCTCGCACTCCAGGTGCCTATGATTTCGGTAACATACACCCTTGTAATCGATCGGTAGTCTGCGCTTCAATTCGTCTGTGCACATTTCCAATAGCTTCATTCCTTCTTCAAGCGAAATGTCGGGGTGGTGGTGTTTATCGAGGGTGGACAGACAGTAGTATCTAGAGCAATTTAGTATGAATCCCAACAGCTGAAACCGCTGTTACCCAGCGCCCGCACTTACTGTGCATATCCGTGAGCAGCATATGGTACAGGTGCCAGCGATGCCAGGTAATCGATCCAGTATAGGTGAGGCTTGTGCGTGATGGGATCGACACCTCCCAGCAAGAGGTTGACAGTGTAGGGATTCCGAGACCGCAGACTCCGCGCCATTTCTCCCCGAACAAAGCTAGCAACCGCATTCGGGCCCAGCTCGGTATCGTTCCGCATCGTGTATAGTTGGATATTGGCTTGGATGTACTCCGCAAATTGTACTAGTTGAGCTCCGGGTTAGCTATGTAGTTCCTGGCGGTTCCGCGTCTCCGATCACTGGGGAAGCTGCGACGAACCCGTGTCTCCCGCCTCTCCGGAGAAGGCCATAAGGTTGTGTTCATTCAGCTGTTTTGTCTTGTCATCTTCGGCTTTGAGGATGGTGGGGCCTCTCATGGCAGCCTTGGAGGCCGCCAGAATGACGAAGTCCTTGCCAGTGATGCCGAGTAGAACCTCCCTGTGAACGAGGATGAGTGAGCGTCGTGTCCATCGATATAAATTTCGGTGTACTTACATGTCTGTAGTATGTCAGGGTGTGATTAATTTAGAGGAAAGATGAAAGAAAGGGCGGTAATGGAAGAGGTGATGGGAAGATGACAGTCGAGAGCCCATCGTTGGCCGCGCGGAGCTTTGACTGCCTGGAGCTGCGGCTCTTGTTGCCTTACTGCCTTAGGCCTGAGCTCCGTGCTGAGTCAGCAATTAGGCGTAAAGTTGATGCGCCTTCCGCCTGCACGGTCCACCGGCAGAAAAAAGTGAGAAACCGAGTATCTCCATCGCATCGGCCAATTTGCCAGAGCCTTCTTCCCCTCCAGACCCTCTTTTACCGCCCGTTTTCCACTCCCGGAGCTTCGGTCAATTACATTGGGTGATGTCGTCCTTTTTCACCCTGCCCGCTTCGCAGCGGAAGCGCAAGAGAGAAGACCGCGCCGGCGCCCCCGCGTCTAAGAAACGAGGTGTCGATGGAGACGGAGATGCGGGCGCAAAGAGTGGCAAGAAGAAGACTAGGGAGCCGTCGGTTTCGGGAAGCGACATCGATGAGGATGAGCTCAGTGGCGCATCAGGTTTGTCGGAGGAAGAAAGTGGCTCGGATTCCGACGAAGGAGAGACAGCCGGAGACCGGAGATTGAAGCTTGCGGAGCGGTACTTGGAGAATGTCCGGGATGAGGTTGAGGACTATGGCTTTGATGCAGCCGAGATCGATCGTGACTTGATCGCAGAAAGGCTGAAGGAGGATGTTGTACGTATCCATCTACCCATTCCACTCCTGTTCGACTGGTCGGGCATTTTACATGCAGAGCTGACGAGAACTGCAGGATGAATTCAAAGGACGCGTTTATCGTCAGATCGCCTCCGAATTGGCCTTCTCGACGGCCTCCCATACCTTCTTCCGGGCAGATACGCAATCAACTACATCAATTGCAGTCCACGCGCCGTACGTTTACACCGTTTCGAAGGACAAGACCTTGATCAAATGGGAACTCGCCACACCAACCTCCACGGTTCCTACGACAAACGAAACTTCTAAACGTCCCCCAGCGCCCCAACGGAAGAAGCCAAAGCAGGTCAGGTTTGTGCGGGGTTTGCGAAAGGTTGCGGAGACGGGAGAGGAACATGGCCACACCAAGAACATCTTGTCTGTCGCAGTGTCGCCGTCCGGAAAATTTGTAGCCACGGGAGGACAAGACCGGAAACTCATTGTCTGGGATGCAGAGACTCTTACCCCCTTGAAGACCTTCACACAACATCGCGACGCTGTCAGTGGTCTTGCCTTCGCTCGTCATATATCTACCATGAGTTCCGGCGAGCAGCTCTTCTCTGGCTCTTATGACCGGACCATCAAGACCTGGTCTTTGAGTACAGCCGGTCATGCCTATGTTGAGACACTTTTCGGACATCAAGACCATGTTACGTCCGTCGCCGCCATGGCAATCGATCAGTGTGTCAGTGTGGGAGCACGTGATCGCACGGCCAGGTTGTGGAAGGTTATCGAGGAATCCCAATTGATCTTCCGTGGTGGCTCTAAGAGCGCCTCCTATCAAGAGAACAACATTGACTGTGTAGCGCCGTTACCTCCTAACCACTTCGTTACGGGATCGGACTCAGGTTCCATCTCTCTCTGGTCCATTCACAAGAAGAAGCCGCTTCACACGATCCCTTACGCACACGGCCTCGACCCCTTACCTCCACTGGATGAACTCTCCTCGGAAGTCAACCAGGAAACCGCAGCACACAACTCCCGTCACCTCCGGCGCATGCCCCGCTGGATCACCGCTTTGACTACCCTTCCAGGCACAGATGTCGTTCTTAGTGGCAGCTGGGATGGCTTCATCCGTGCCTGGAAGATCTCAGAAGACAAAAAGACCATAGTTGCCCTGGGCCCTATCGGAGCAGGATCTAGCATCCCGCTTACTCCCGATACCCCATCCGAGCAACTAAAGCAGACCCTCGCTTTCGACACACCAACGAGCCCGGATCACATGGCAGTCGACGGTGCGCCGGCCCAGCAAGCCGAGGAGGAAGCCGAACCGCTGGTCAAGGGTGTTATCAACGACATTGCTGTATTCGAGCGTCGTGCAGAAACCGCCAAACCAGGCCAAGCGCCAGCGGAACCCAAGTCCAAGTCCAAGTCCAACAACAAGCCGTCTGCGCCCGAGCAACATGGGCTCTGCATCGTAGCCGCTGTTGGCAAGGAACATCGGCTAGCAAGGTTCAAATGCTTCTCCAACAACTTCCATGACGGCCCCACCGCAGACGGTCGGAACGGCGCCGTGGTGTTCGAAGTATCATTCATCTCCGAAAAATCGAAATGATCGAATCGAGGCGCTGACTGACTAACTGATCTTGGTGGCGGCGCTGGACGGCTGTATGCAATGTAGTGAAAACAAGGCGTCTGTGCATTCTATATCTCCTTCTATTTTATGCATGTATCTTTTATTCCCGGGCCGGTGGTCTCTGCATATTGCTTTCAAAAGTTCGCATTAGACGAGGTACTTTTCTGTTCTACTATCTCTCTAATCTCCGTGATTTAGCCGGTTTTTTGTACGATGTATATACTTTGAACATGACAATTTTCTTGAATGACTCCTCTCCTACTACTAGTATTATTACTCCTCATCACAAAACATCCAACCCCCCTCACCAAATAGAACCAACTGAACTAACCCCAATAAAACCATCATCATGTACCACTGACAAGTCCTTCCTTCAACCCACAACATAAGCGCCGAGCGTGACAACGACCCTGTCCCCTGCAGGCCACTAAATCTAGCTTGTCTAGCTAACGGGTTCATTAATTCCCCGGCGCTAAAGCCGGCGACTAGACTGAAGGCGGATAGGGATATCTGCCTAGTGCCTAGAGCCCTAGACTAGATACTAATTACGTAGTGGTCTCCGCGAGTTGGGCGGGGCATGCTGCATACGTAGTTACTAAGTTTAGCTCAATAATACTACTACTACTACTACTACTACTACTACTACTACTACTACTACTACTACTACTATTATTATTATTTACGGCTATTTTTATGATCAGACGCATTAAGTATTTACTCGTATGTTGGCCGGGAAGGACTAAGGGTTATTCATGTACTACTAAATGCTGTGACGCGCGCACGCGAATGTGCGCGGTTAGGATTGGAATTTGGGGAGGGGTAGGTGGTAGTACTAGTATGTCATGCCGGGCGGGCCGGGGAAGGATGCAGTGTGGAATTTGGTAGTAGTATGGTTGTGGGTGTTGTGGAGGGGTGGGAGATTGGTGCTGGCTTTGTGGTTTTCGTGGCTGAGGGTGTAGAGGATAGATGTTCTACTCTGTTCTACTGATATACTAGTAACTACTGCTTGGTCAAGGTTCACATATTCAGTGTGGGAAGTTTTGGTATGTATTGTCTCAATCAATGAGATTGTCATTTCCTGCAATCTAGAATGATAGTAAAGCGGGAAAGAAGAAGAGTAACAGAAGACTATGCCATAAGATGCTTGATGATACAAGTGCTCTTGAACAGAAATGTCATGATAAACCGAACGTCGCCTGGAAACGACCTTTACCCAAGGTATTGAATGAGCAGCAAGAGACAAGAGATCGAAAACAGGGGTATTTTCAAATGGCCTGAGAGGGAAGTTTAAGCCTTGGTCGCGGGGATGATGCAAGTAGAATAGCACACGACTTCGTATTTTCTCCGTGGTCGTATATCAAATCGCCAGCTCGGCGGTTCGTGTGTATGTAGCAGGCCTAATATAGAAGTGTATAATTCCTTTGGGGGTCTCAAGGATGGGTGAACTAGCACCGCAGAATCAGGGGAAGTCGCAGATAATGGATCATTAGGAAGTAATATCAATCGTCATTGGAATCGTAGATGAGATGTCGGAGCGCTTTAGTAGGCTGAGGGGCGGCGACGGCCCCTGTCTCTTGTCCGCCTAGTTGGTCGCACGGGGCCTTCGTCAGAATCGTCATCCACGCTGATTGCATCCATAACAGTAGACCCGGCGGACACTTGCTGTGGGAGCCGTCGATCATTGCGGAATCCTGCTTGAGATCTGGATTCACTGCGTCCTGAGACTGTACCAGAAGTCCCATTCTCGCAAGATGGAGAACTCGACTGTATTCGGTAGGTTTGGATGCGATTGCGCCGCATGCCACCTGCAGGCGGCAGAATCGGATCCTCATCGTCGTCATCATCATCGTCGTCGTCATCATGACTTTCATCATCCAGGCTCTCCTCGTCCAGGCTTTCCTCAGACATCTCATCAAAGGTTGACAGGTCAGTTCCGATAGTGTGGGTGATCGAGATCTCATGCCGCCCAACTACCGTGGATCGGTCAGATTCGGAATAATCATCGTGTTCCAAGTCATCGTCGATGAACGAATCCATGTCCGCATCCTCATCCTCCTCATCCATGTCGCTATCTTCCTCGAGAGCTGACGAAATTCCAGAAGGCCAGTCATAATGGTTCTGCCGGCGGAAATGCCCATTTGCACGCATGTTCGGAAGGTCGCCAGGAGCTAGGCCATACCATTGACGATAAAGTTGATCTATGTCGGCAGGTTGTATATCAAGGGGCAAGTGGTCATGGTTGGGGTCCCAACCATATTCGTCCGCGTCTCCAAATCCATCTTCAATCTCATCATCGTCATCCAAGTAGTCCGTCATTTCCGAATTTTCGTCTGACTCACTCCAGGCCGAAATGCCAGTCACAGACTCGTCATCTTGTCGATATCCACACTGTGCACACCCTTCATCTTCCTCTAGCTCCCACGAACAACGTGGACAACGCACAACATTGTCCTCGAGGTCCACGATAGGTTGCGCGACTGGAGTCTTCTTGTTGAACGTACCACGGAACAGTCCCCCCTCCCGCGGGTGTGTATTTGTTTTGTCTTTTTCCAGTCGTTCCGCTTCCTCGCGTTGATGATTTAGGTGTTCGACTGTGGTCTCGCCCTTATCAAGCAGCTCCGGGCGACTTGTGAACATTTGAACAACAGCGCGGACCTTGAGTACTTCATTTAGTGCCTGTTGCGCATCGAATCAGAAATGAGCATGATGTCAGGGGCTTACCAAGTATGCGGGAGCAGGTTGCGCTTTCACCGGTGCTCGACAGTCCGGGCATGTCTTGTTGTGCCTCCCACCGACAAACCATGATGTTAAACACTAGAGCGAAAGGTTAGACGCCAAAACTTATGAGTGTCGTCGATATTGGCGATACTGACACTATAACAAAAGGTATGTCCGCAGGCAAGGGTGTAGGGTTCATAAAGTGGTCGGATGCAAACGCCGCATTGTAGGAGAGAACGGATATCGTCGACATGGCCTTGCAGCGTTTCAAAGAGCTAGAGATGAGGGGGATATATCAGCGCACGAAAAGCTCGATTATAGGAAGGAAAGCTTACCCCTGACGCGTTGTCTCCAATATTGACATTTGGTGTGCTGGTGCTCTCGGAGCCATTGCTCAGGGCAGCTCCAGCGGGGGTAGGTTCGGACATGGTATGAGGATACACGGACCAGATGCTGGTGGTAACGGCCTTATATAGTTGAGGATCTGGTCTTTGTATCCGGCGCGACAAGTTTCCGTATCAGATACGGAAGGTGAACGGCTTGCGGTCGGTGAGGAAGGGATTGGATACAAATAGTATGGATGGGAACTCTCAGGTACGCGCGAGGATTGCCGACATAACTGGGTCCGGACTTTTGCTATGGCAGAAGGAACTCCCCACCAAGCGCTGGAGTTTGACGCGACGGGGGATGGGCGCCAGAGGTCGAGATGAAATGCTGTTGGCCTGAAGATACCAGACGGTATGACCGGCACGAAGCAGAGGGTGAAGGTTCGAAGAAAGAAAAGAGGAATTATGATCTATGGCGATTGGTCTGGCCGGCGTGAGCATGATTTTCTGGTCGGGGAATCTGCGCGCAAACCGAGCAAACAATGGGGCGGCGGATGATTGAGTGGATCCGTGGAAGAAGCCGAAACTCTACCTATCGTCGGGTCGATCCCATACATCACAAGTTCACATCCATCTCTACTCCGTACCTTCCAACACATCTTTCCAACTTCCAACAATTAGTCTACGCCAGTCAAGAAGAAACAGGGAGAGTCGAGATTGAACCCAGCCTGATGGGCTAGCAGACAAGGTTATGAGCTGTGATTTGTCCCTCTTCAGAGCTAGACGACGACCCTAACGGAAAACTAAGGCCGAAGGAGTAATCCGGCGCCGTCTCACCGTCGATACGCCAAATGTATCTCAGCAGCTCTTTAGCTCTGTCATAAGTGGGCCACGTCGGGGTTATTACTGCAGTTGGTTCGAAATAATTTATCCAGAAGCTATTCTAGTTAAGCAGTGAGATGGGGGCCTGTTCATGTCCCAACAGTTCTGATACTTCCGACAAGTTGGCCACCATCACCCTGTTCCAAATTAGTCATTCACTTCGTATGTCCTGGCGCTTCAGTGAACCTTATGTGAGTATGCAGGGTACAACTTATTTTAATATTGATGGCTTCATTTCGCGTGGCAATAACTAGGCCAGCGTGTCTCCATCGTATGACAGAAGGAACATGGCTAAATCCGGACATCAACAACCGTCTGCCACACTTGCAATTTATCTCCCCTACTCATACCCTAAACTATGGCTAATCCCATCTAGCACTCTCTCATCACGGTTGTATAGATTGAATCACAGCAACAACTTACATGGAGCTGGAACGAAGTCTCATCTTCCAGACCCTTGGTGCGCACGGCTTCACCACGTTGTTCCTCTTCAATTGGCAACTGACTGCAGGTCATCTGCATGCGGTGCATTTACTAATACTTTAGCCAAGCAGCGCATGGATTTGGCTTATGACTTTGTTCTAGCCGCTCCTGTTGCATTAAAGCGCTTGTTAACCGCCTCAAGACCACCCACTTTCGGGTTATACCCCCGTAGCGGGTTACCCCCTACAAGAAGAGTGTCTCCTGACTACTTACTGATGCGTTTATGCAGGTTTGGATACAGTATGTATGAGACGGGAGAATATGGGAGAGGTTTGGATTGATATCCTATTCGTCTTAGAAGTCTTTTCTTTCTTTCGCGAAAATTAAATGAGACCGTTGGTCTTTCAAAGCCAGATTGAAGCGAAAGTGATAATTTTCAAATGACGAGGCTCAGCAGACGTAGCATTTGGTTGTTGCATCATTCGACATCGGCAAGCGCCCGCTTACGCGAATGCTCGCGCTTCAAATCCTCCGAGATGAGATGGCTATCATCGAAGACGCCCTTGATCACTTTTTCCTCTTCCACGATCTCCTTATCCATATGTTCAAGGAAATCGATCTGCTCCCTAATGAATTTCTTGGCAGCACGCGTATCAAAAGTGCGCCGGGCTCTTTGCTGATCGCGCATGAGCCTATTGACGTCACGGAGACGCTCGCCAAGAAGCTCGAATCGATACTCGGTGAACTGATGATACAATTCATTCAAATTCGAGATTGGGCGGACTGTGGTGAGAACGGTGTCGTCCTTGACGGACGAAGCCCGGGGACGGAACGATGTCACCATGGTGATTCGCTCCGTCGCTCCCAAAGCACGGAGTGCTTTGTGCTCAATGTAACGGCCTTGTAGGATGACCGCTGAACCCTAGGACGACTCATAAGCCTTGAGCTTGGGGGATCCACCTGTCATGTACTTACTTTCTGCGGTCCCCTTACTTTGACAATTTCGCCATTGCCCGTACGAAGGGCTGTTTCTCCTCCGGTCATATTGGTGCAGTCCGACAGCATAATCACGCAGACAAAGGGGTAGCTGTCAGTGTGCCAGTCGACTATGGCATCATCGTCGCTGGGCTTTACGGCAATGCCCTTACCCAACATCCCGACTTTCTTCGGAGCATTATGCTTCTCTTCTTCGCTGTGGCCAGAGATGTTCACGTGTCCCAGCTCGAAGTCCATAACCGGGACGAGATCGACACCAGCAACTTTGGAGATTATGGCAAGAGTCTCTGGATTCTTCCAGGCGTCATAAACAAATGGAGCGCACCTATTCCTACGTGTCAGTCATGGCCTCCAATGGGGTGAAAGCTTCAATATTTACTCAGCTGCATATCCCCTGAGTTGGCATTGAGCGATCTCACTCGAGTACTTGTGGTTGGAATAGACCTCTTTGGTGAGGACTTCCTTGCGCATTTGCTCAATAGCTTCGGCCGAGAATAGTGGGAAGGGCTCGGAGACACCAACAGGGGAAACTCCACGGCTGTTAGGGTAGCCGAGCTCAACCATAGTGTGGACCTTCGAAGGGGGCACAAAAGCCAGATGCTTGGACGGGTCGAATACCACATTGTTTGGCTCTGCAGTGGCATCTTCGATCTGGCAAGCCTCGCCGGCGATCTCGACTAGCTCATTAATGGCTGAGACCGGGCTGGCCATGCTAGAACCGACTGGGGCCATTGCTAAGGCTTGAGAGGATCCTGAGAGACAAGTGGCCGAAAGGATGGTATTCGGTTACTTTGAGGGCGTTTAATGGTCTGCTACTTGAATGAACTGAGTGAAGCTGATGAGGGAAAAAAAAGGGTTCAAGGGTGGCCAGGTATTTATACTCAAATCCAACAAACCTGCTCGTGGCAAGATCCGGATTCAAATAACTTCACTGTACGCTGAATCTTGTCAAACCTGTGGGCTTCTCCAATATGTGAATTCTCTCTCAAGCTTGACAGCTGATAGCAAGCCCTAGCTATAGAAAAATACGCACGGTATGTTCCTTGGTCAGTGAAAGCATGTTAATGAATGCATGGGCAGATCAGAGCGTGCTAGTGGCTCGAGCATTGAGGGATTAATTTTTCTTGGGAAATTTCAGTTTTAAAGTCCTCATATTCGTTGAGATCCTATGCGGCTGGTCATGAACATTAACTGGGCTCCGCTTTCCATACTGCTCGGTGGAAGCAACATGAACATCATAGGCCTATAGCGACAGCTGATGGAGATAGCCCGTGGATACTGTTCCTGTGTTCGGTTTGGCACAGTGAATCCATAGCCAACCAAGATACCATTCTCATAGCCGTCCAATGTTTTGTTGGCCCTGGATTTGTCGGTGCTTTCAGTCACTGGGTAGATCCAGACAGAACAGACCCCCAATGGCAGAAAGTGGGCAGATAGTGATTATGTCAACCAGTTTTGGAAAGCCAGACCAGGCAGCTTCCCAGCTGGTATTTGTGCGGCTAGCGCCGAGATATCTTACTACCTCACATCGAACCTGGCGCGTGCTTCTGAATTTCCTGTTTTGAATTTCTTCTGCCAAAGGTTCGATTAGGGCACTTCAGGACCAGACGGGCACCGATGGATGTTATGATTTGTCGGGATTGGGGGTTGAACGTATATTACGAGAGCTGCCAAATATCTACGCGCTAAGCCACTATTAGTTGGGGATTTTTGACTTGATTCGGAATAAGTATTGGGATGGGTTCGATTTTCCAGCTGGGCAGGTTATTTTGCAAGCTGGTCTGATTATCAGGTAACAGAGATCACCCCCTCTCTCACAGCCTATAGCGGCCCTTGCGCTTTCCGCGCCCATACACGTGTCATTTGACGTCTATGGCCGATAAGGGGCATTTCGGAAGGACTGGCAATGGTCCTCGTATCCCGAAAGGGGTCATATTCAAATGCATTCTTGCTTGATCCGATTAGAGCAACGGTATTGTAGATGCCCTCTGCGTGTGAGCAGTGAAGGTTGGAATACGTTTCGATAATCACGTCCACTGGCTGACTCGTATACCCACAATGGGTATGCAGACACAAATGGGCACTGGAATCATGATTCATATTACCCTATATCATATACGGACGGTGTAGTGGGCGTGATGCATACTATCAGTGCTTGCATGTTTACAGGCTAGCTTCATTGTTCAACATTACTGTGATATGGCCAGATGGGGTACCCAATGAAATAGGCAGATACTATGCCTTGTAACTGCCCCACCTTACCAATAACTTTCTTTGGTTATGATTTTCTTCCTCGAACCAGCACCCTCTATAGTAGCATGGGCAGGACCATGTGACGAACGGGAATAGAGTCGGACAAAATCTGCAACCAACATGTACGCAATCTTAAAACGCCAACAAAGCTCTGCTGATCATTCAAAAAGCATTAATGTAGAATAGTGCAGACGGGGGAGAAAGAAAGCAAGCATATCCCGGAATGCCATGACAATGAGCGGTAACCACTGCAGATGGCGTCCCAAACAGATGCAGTACCTGTCTTGCAGTCAGGAGTTATTGTAATTGAGCCCCTCTGAACTCGTAATTACTCGGGGCTTAATCTCCATCTCTCTGGTATAATGCGTTGATGGCTCCACACTTGCAGGGCGAAATTAATTGAGAACTTATAGTCCATCGTTCTAGAAGGTGCAGTAATCTTAGAATGAAATCGCTCACAGCCGACCAACCTTAAGTCAGAACTGAAGCATGAGATCAAAACTTTTAGCTTTTAGGCAGGATCTGTAGTCTATATTCTCTCAACCGTGCGACGTTCAACCGCATCAGTGGGATTCCATTTTAAGGTTCTCATAGTTCTCGGGGATGGATCTCCACGCCAAGACTGGCGGACTGGCGGGTCTGGATTTTCTTCCGGTCGCTTCGATTGGTACAACTACTGCCACCCTTAATCCTCATCAACATTCAACATCTACCCGCAATATCCCGGTTATCTCCTTTCTTGGGTTTAGAGGCTCCTCCTCTCGCAGTCACCCTAACTCGCTCCGGATTCTGGCACTCGCCTGCTCGGCTCATCACAGACTATGGCTTCCCAATCTGATAAACAGCCAACCCCATCCGACCAAACCAATCCCAATGCTTGGGAGCGGGTGGAGCGGAAATTCACCAGGTATGTTTAGGCGTTCGCCTCTTTCTGATTCTCACCGTCAATGTTCTCCTCCTTTTCTTGATAATCGAGCGCAATCACGCGCTCGAATCTTCGAGCTCTCGGTTTGACTTCTCTCGTGCTGCTCCAACGATTCAATGGTTTCCATCCATCAAGGGAGAGGGGACAAGGTCGATCTGCTGGCCCATGACACCTACTTGTAGATAAGAGTTCATTACTGACAATCACCTGTTGTCTTTAGCAAACCGGCAAGCGAATACTTTGACCCATGTCAAGATTTCGCAGATCGAAGCCTCAAGTGCATGAAGCGCAATGGCTTCGATAAGGAGATGTGCTCGGATTATTTCCAGTGAGTTCACCAATTCGTCACAGGCATCTCCTCGCCTTCTACTCAGTTGCTCTGATTGGTTGACTTGCTGCCATTTGTTTCTGAGAAATTACATATGGTGCCGTCTTCTACCTGTCAAGTGGCTAGAGTAGCTCCTTTCCGGAGTTGCCTGCCTTTTGTGGTTTATCTACCCCATAGACTGACCAAATACTATCCAGGGCTTATCGGGATTGTAAAAAGGAATGGGTGAGTACGAACCATTACGCTTGTTTTTCTGCGGCCTTGCCACTACCTTGCTGAAATCACCCCTCGGAGGAATGATTGCACGCCTATTCTTGGATTGCTTTCGGTCATAGATGGACTAACGCGTCTCTCCAGTTAACGCAAAAGAAGCTTGGCTCGTCTGCAGCAAAACGCTAATTGAGGGCTTCTTGGGTTTCCTATGCTGCACTGGCTTGCATTCGGAACTGCCATCATCATAATCGCCCTGTTAGCGCGCCTGTATTCACCAGACCTTCAATATCTTCTGAGACAGAACCATGCTCTCACTTATCTCTAGCTCTCATTGGCGTGCTACCATTTTTGTTCAAGCCCAAGGCATCGACATGAATGCTACTTTTCAGCGGTCTCAGCCATGCACCAGCAAGCCGCCTATATGTTCAGTGACTTGACGAAAACTCTGTTTCCATCACCTGCTGCTGTTATCGGGAAAGCGATTACTGTTTCTGCCATGATATACCTGGCCTTCCTTCATTATTTCCCAGTTCGTCTGTACAGTGGAGGAGGTCTCATTTGGGCATTGTCCTTCCTGGCGTTCATAGTGCATGGCTTCAGTCATTGGTCTGGCTTCTGCTATCTGTATAATATGTCACTATTATAGTAACCCCAGTCCCAACTCTTCACTCACAATACCAGAGTTTTTTAGCTTTATGATATCTATTGCAGCATCATTGTAGTCGTGTTGCTTCGCCGAACCACTAGTGGTAGTACTAGATAGAAGTTTGGACAAGCAAATAAAGTTTTATCCTATTGAACTGAATTGGCGAAGTGTATACTCCGGTTAGTTACTAAAATATACTATTAGTAGTACCGGTAGTACTACTACCTAATGCTCTACAGAGCACAACACAGAGCTAACACCCTGTGTCTTCCTCCTTTAGCCCACCTTGCCAAAGCTACACTAGATGTCTTAAAGATCTTAAATAAAAACAAATAATGCTACTAGTTATACTTTCCATACTACTCGTGCACACTGAGGGCTGCCGCAAGCATGAAGTTCCCCGGCGGTCACCGCCTTCCCGCAGAGCTTCCCCGCCCACCAAACTCAGCAGAAAGCCGATAAAGAAAGTATGAGGAAACAGACACCTTAATTTCTCCCCTCATCATCGCCGTATATACTACCCCGCACACCGTGTGCTGTGCTTGATCGCGCAGCATACGTTCCTGCCCCCTTGTTCTTTTTATAATTAAATAGACCCCTGGGACCTGTACCCCTCCGACTCTCCGAGCCTTCCCCTCTCGTCATGTCCACCAGTGACGCCGTGTTTCATCGGCGGAACAAGCAGGTTCAAGATGCCATTGATGGGCAGAACCTCAAGCAGGCTCTTCAACTGATTGATAAGCGCATCAAGAAGGGCGAAGACACAAGATTCCTTAAAGTGGGTAATAATGCTATGCTCTATTTATGGCCATAAACACGCTACTTTCAATCGCTTTACGTGGTTTTGTCAACATACATCTGCTAACTAATGGATAAAGGCATGGAAGGCAAACATCCTGTTCCGTCACGCCGACGACGCAAACCGTAATCGCGGTATCTCGGAGACCCTCGAATTATGCAAAGCTGAACCGCCCACAACGGATCTCGACACCCTCGATATCCTTCATGAGACGCTGGAGCGGCTGCCCAACCATGCGGACACACTGAGGAGTATCTGGGAGAAGGCCTCGAAGGCCAATTCGAAAGACTTGGATATTCAAATGAGATGGTTCGAATATGCGTTCGAAGGCGACGACTGGAAGTCCGCACAAAAGGTCGGTACACTGCACGGGCATTGTTCATGGTTTCCGAGGCTGATGATTGTCTCTCGTTGGCGGATTCTTAGGCTGCTATGGCTCTTCAAAGTAACTTCCCAAAGACGAGGAAGTACCACTTGTGGGCCATTTTCCTTAGCTACCTCGTTTCCATCGACCAGGCTAGCTCCGAGGCTGATCGCAAACTTTTTGGAATGCTGGCCTACCGCATGA